TTATCTCACCACCAATTATCTGTTTGCCACTTCACACGCTAAAGTAGTAAATCGTTACATTTTTGCACTTGTTGATACTTTGACACTGAAAATGTTCCTTTGGGAGAAATATCTTTTTGAATTGACATTATCGTCATTGATGAAGAATTTAGAGAAACGAACAAGCTAACTATGGGTTGTCTGGGTTTTAATTTCTTTTCAAGTGTAGCTATATGAGTGCGTACCTTGCATCGAGAAAAATGTGGCCACGTGTGGGTAAAATATCCTTGAACAATAAATTGGAGTTCCCACGAACTCCCTTCTATGGCATTGTTAGATAAGAACGTGAGTTTCAGTGAGGATGTAAGTTTTATATATACATTATGAATCGTCGTGTAATCATATTTAAGATATGATGTATGTCTAACATTTTTAAATCTTGTATACATTAGGGTGGGATAAATGGTATTGATCCGCTTGTTCTTGAGCTCGTGGCGCCTTATTTATGACATGTTCAAAATATGAATTTTAGATATATTGTGACATGAAATACAATATGTTTGTGACCTGTAATATTTAATGTGACATGCAGTTTTCGTGTGAGCTAAACTTTGAAATTTTTTGTTACGTAAATGCAATACAATATTGTGACATGCAAATGTAGCTTTTTAATGTTAACCGGAACATATGACTCTCTATATGTAACCTATAAGATTATAATATGGCCCGCTATAATAATGTTACATGCTGTGTTAATGCGACCTAAATCACTACAATGTGAACTATAGTATGAACATGCATTTCAGATATATCTTATGAAATTTTATGTTCGATATAATGTGACCTAATTTGTATCATTGTATAAACTGATTTTGTTTGTGTTGTATGTATTGCATGATAGACGTGCCATGCCCCAAAACTAAAGCAGCCACATCAAAAAGTTCAAAACTCTGAAAATTAGGCAGGCAAAAGGGAGTTTACCCCCATTCACGTCAATGTCGCTTCGTTAACATTAATTTCATATGTAGTTGTGTCACAGACAAAGGCAAATATAGAAGATATGCCACAGCCAAAAGTTAATATAGAAGTCACGGATGATGATTTTGTGATTCTACCGTCAAAAGGATGGAAGTGCGCTGCCAGCTCAAGCTTTGCAGCCCAACTCGACTACCCATCATCCCCGACTTTTCATGAATTGAAATATTTATTTGTTAACAAATTGAAGAAACTTATTGATATACAAGCCAACTAACTACAAAATCTATCAGAACCCTCATAATATAATAGTATAACTTACTGGAAAAACAAGTCACACACAGATTAGTTCAAACCAAATATTGATATGTAACTTGAACATATTGACATGGCATTGGTCACATATTAGGATAGAGAAGTCACACATAGATCAATACAGGACATAGAATTCAAATCTAATGTAGACATATTCATATAAAATAATCACATTCAGGGTCACAGAGAATCAATTTCAATGCAGTGACATTGTTCACTGATTAAACTAATTTCAAACATGCATTGTCACAACATTTAAAAGATAGTTCACAATCTACTCTATTAAGTAGTCACAACTAGTCAAAATTATCAAAAACATGTATCAATATGAATGATACACGCCTACGATCACTGATACTCACATTGAAAGTTGAAAAAAATGACCACTGAAAGGTGGTGATTCAACACCCTTCTAGTTACCCGGTAATGTTTGGCGTTTCCACCACTCCGTCAAGTATGCAAGACCTGCAAAATGAAGGCGGGGCTTTCTCCCCCGTTTTACCTCCGGCGTGAGAATTAGTTTTCAGACTTGGAAAGAATATATTTGAAAATCAGATGGCTAAAAACGAGAATGTGAGCTAAAAAATCATCCCTTACCTGTGTCTCATCCGGGGGTATTTATAGATATTAGGCACTAGGTAACCACTGGGCGGTTGTGATGCCACGTGTCCCACGATGATATTCCCACTACACCCACGTTCTGAGTGATGAGCCCTTAACTTCCCATCTGAAAATTGTACCTGTATCAGCGGCCATGTAACCTTGTCGATTCGTTAAAGGTTTTATGGCTAAGTGTTTGGACAAAGGATATCATTCCCGTTGAAGATTTCGCTTAGTGGTAGAATGATTTCTTGGGGTAGCGATAGAGCGCTCCCTAGACGTAGTGGTAGAGCACTCCCTAAATGTAGTGGTAGAGCGCTCCCTGGGTGTAGTGGTAGAACGCACTATGAGGGTCGATGGCCTTGCATCGGTGTGCTGTGATCTGCCTTGCTCGTCCTCGGGGGTGTCTCCTTCTACCAACCTATATCATTAGCCCCTCTATCCCTTGTCGATGTTTTCGGCAATGGGTAGCAATTTTAGGTTGGTTTGAATTTTTTTTTTCTTTATATAAAGAGAAAAGAATAGTTCGTATTAGCAAATCGAATCATATAAGCACGATCGAGTGGCAATCGTACTGTACACATGAATCCTCATGAATGGCTTTAATATTGGAGGGAGATTTCCCTCCAATTCCCCCCCAAAAAATTTGAATTCTAGTGTTATAAAAAGGGGGGGTAATTCTCATTCTAGAAAATCACTTTCATTTTCTCTCAACTTCCTAGATTTCCTCTCTTCTAAGGTAATTTCCTCTCTTTATTTACATCCAAAGTCTTGCTTTAAATTTCTTCTCTTCATCATTTTTGTTGTCATGTATAAAACTATCCTTTCTTCTCCTTCCAATGAAAAAAGTGATGGGGGGTGTAGTGATTCGACCGGACCTTCGTCGGAGGATGCCAGCGGGAGTCCGACCGACCCACGGGGGGGTCGGTCGCCGGCCAGCGGGGCTGGTTGCTCGACCAGCCCCACTGGTCGACCAGCCTTCGGGCTGGCCGTCTACCGCCGTCCATTAATTCTCGTGGTTGGTCCGGTCCTTCGATTCGCCCTTGTAGTGACTCGCCCCCTTCATCCAGCAAATCCCTTTATGATAGTGATAGTGAAACTCATTCAATTGACTCTCAGCCATTTGTTCCAAATCTCCCAAAGAGACACATTGGTTCTTCTAAATCTCCAGGCCAAAATTTGGAAATCGGGCGTGACCCGGCCGGTGAGGTTGTCCCCCTAGATATCCCAAAAAGTTATAGTCTCTACAATTCGCCACTTAAGTTGGAAAAATGTGTAGGTAAGTATGACCGGGTTGATGATTACGTCTATAGAGCCCCTGGTCCTAAAGAAAGGCTCCCTGGGTCCGACCCCCGTGAGATAGCCATGTACAAGGATGTTATGGACGGGGGTTTTCGGTTCCCCATTCATCCCTTTTTTGTATCGATTTTCAACGAGTTCCACTTTACTCCTAGTCAAATTAATCCTAATGCATGGAGAAAAGCGTTATATTTTCTGTACGTCTGTCTCAAAAAGGGAATATCATCTTCCATGGATCTTTTCAGGTGTATCTTCGAAATGCATGAGTTAGTTCAATGTAATGCCTTTGTCTATTTTACCACTAGGGTACCTATGCAATTCCCTAAGTTTAGGAATTCGAATAGCGGATGGAAGTCCCGATTTTTCTTCGTCCGGCCTTCAAAGGGTAAGTTTTCTTTTAACACAAACTGGCGACACCCCCAAATTCGTCTCTTCAATAGCCAAGTAGAAGCTACTCCCTTTCTAGAAGCTCAAATCCAGGACTTGGTTGATGTTCCGCCCTTTGCACCTGACTTAGGGTCAGTCCTAACCATGAAGAACATGTTGAAAGTGGGGATAAGTCGTCGGGTTGCTTGACTTTCATCCTTCCTGTCTCGCTTAAGATCTTAACCGGAACCACGGCTTCCATCCCAAAGGCCAGTTTGAATGGCGTCTCCCCGGTCGACTCTCGGGGGGTAGTGTGATATGCCCATAGTACATTGGGCAACTCCTCAGCCCAAAGTCCTTTTCCTTTTTCTAATCTTGTCTTCAAATCCCACAGTATGATTCGGTTGGTCACTTCTGCTTGCCCATTTGCCTGCATATGATATTTTTCCAGACGAATCCCTGTATCTTTGCAGTCGTGATGGTGGCCAAAGGCTCAGCTTCCACCCACTTAGTAAAGTAGTCGACGGCAACTAACAAGAACTTCCTCTGTCCTTTTGACAGGGGCAAAGGTCCCAAGATGTCCATCCCCCATTGCCTTTAGATGAGCCTCGTGATGTGGTTCCAGCTCCTAGGCCGGGAGCTCCTAGTCGTGCGCGAAGTGAGCGCGAGGACTCGCTTCCTAGCTTTGGGTTTCCTCCCACCCGGGGCTATCATGAGATGGGGGTGCTTAAGTCGTTGGTGACCCCCGCTCGATCCAGAGCGATTGCAGGGCGCAGCGCAGATGACATAGAAAGGGCTGCGGCTGTTTATCTTCAGAGGGTATGTTTCTCATTTCGAGATTTTTTTTTTTATGTTGGATCTCGCCTTTTAAGTTAGACCTTAACTCGTGGTTTCACTCTTTTTCCCCTTATACATTTTTTTTTTTTTAGGTGGTGGCCCTCCAGACCGGACTCGCTGAGTCGAATCGCCGCCTAGCCTCAGAACTGAAAACTCTTACTGAAGAAAAGAAAAAAGAGGCTCATCACCACAAGAAGAAAATATCCTCCTTGAGGAAATCTCTGGAGATGTCGGACGCTCGAGCTCGTGAGCAAGAGACGGAGATCGACAACTTACGCTCTGTTTTGGCTCGTGCTCCTGAAGAGGCGGTTGAGAGGTATAAGGCCTCAGGTGAGTACGCAGGAGATCTCAAGTCGGCTGTGGATCAGTTTAAAACATCGTCCGATTATGCTAAGGCTTTGAACTCATACGGGGGGAAGGCACTGGCGACACCCCCAAATTCGTCTCTTCAATAGCCAAGTAGAAGCTACTCCCTTTCTAGAAGCTCAAATCTAGGACTTGGTTGATGTTCCGCCCTTTGCACCTGACTTAGGGTCAGTCCTAACCATGAAGAACATGTTGAAAGTGGGGATGAGTCGTCCATTCGGTAGGTCGTTTATGTTGTTTTTCCCTTTTTTTTTTTAGCATGCACACACGTTCATTTATTATTTTTGCCTTTAGCTCGTTGAGACTAATGAGCTTGGATGTTTGTTTCAGGTATGGACTTTGATCTTGATGAGGTATTGAGGACTCTGCCAGGAGGAGATGAGGCCCTTACCCTCGTTGATGGTAAGCTTTCATAGTCACCCCCACCCTCTCTTCCCCCCTCTTTTTTTTTTCTTTTGTACTCTACCTTGTGATTTTAACCGATTTCAACTTACATGTGCAGGGGTCGAGCTTGATCTGGAAGGAGTCATGGACTCCATGCCTGACCAGGGGCAGGAGGGTGAGGTGGATCCTTTGCCTATCCCTTCAAAGAGAGGGAAAGGGGCTGACCTTGGGAGAAAGTCTCAGACGATCAACGAGACTTCTCAGCCTTTAGATGAGCCTCGTGATGTGGTTCCAGCTCCTAGGCTGGGAGCTCCTAGTCGTGCGCGATGTGAGCGCGAGGACTCGCTTCCTAACTTTAGGTTTCCTCCTACCCGGGGCTATCATGAGATGGGGGTGCTTAAGTCGTTGGTGACCCCCGCTCGATCCAGAGTGATTGCAGGGCGCAGCGCAGATGACATAGAAAGGGCTGCGGCAGTTTACCTTCAGAGGGTATGTTTCTCATTTCGAGATTTTTTTTTATGTTGGATCTCGCCTTTTAAGTTAGACTTTAACTCGTGGTTTCACTCTTTTTCCCCTTATACATTTTTTCTTTTTTTTTTAGGTGGTGGCCCTCCAGATCGGACTCGCTGAGTCGAATAGTCGCCTAGTCTCAGAGATGAAAACTCTTACTGAAGAAAAGAAGAAGGAGGCTCATCACCACAAGAAGAAAATATCCTCCTTGAGGAAATCTCTGGAGATGTCGAACGCTCGAGCTCGTGAGCAAGAGACGGAGATCGACAACCTATGCTCTGTTTTGGCTCGTGCTCCTGAAGAGGCGGTTGAGAGGTATAAGGCCTCAGATGAGTACGCTGGAGATCTCAAGGCGGCTGTGGATCAGTATAAGACATCGTCCGATTATGCTAAGGCTTTGAACTCATACGGGGGGAAGGCGATGTCAGCATCAATTAAGCTCTCCAAGGAGTGGATTGTGGCCGAACATCCTTCTATAGACCCCTCCGGCTTGGATAGATTTCTCGCACAGCGCAAGGGGAATGAGAGCGTAGCTCAGTCATCCAGATCATTCGGTCGTTCATCACAAGGTGGTAGTGGGGATGTCTCCCCTTCGAGCTGAAGCATTTCTTAGTTGTTGTTTTCCTTGCTAGTTTTTTCCTTTTTAGTGTTTACTTTTGCTTAGCCTTGTTATCTCCTACTTGCTCGGGATGTGGGCAAGAATTCTTCGAATGTATAAACACATCTTTCATTTGATATTATTGGCGCTGGATGCATGGTACTTTAAAATGTCGTCTCTCATGTTATTTTTCTTTTCCAAGGCTCTCCACCTAGCCGCGTATGCTATGTCGACCGCAGGGGGTGATTTGGCGGTTAAGGGCCTTAACCAATTTTTTGACTTTTCAAGGCTCTCCACCTAACAGCGTAGGTTATGTCAACCGCAGGGGGCGATTTGGTGGTTAAGGACCTTAGCCAATTTTTTGACTTTTCAAGGCTCTCCACCTAGCCGCGTAGGCTATGTCCACCGCAGGGGGTGATTTGGTGGTTAAGGGCCTTAGCCAATTTTTTGACTTTCCAAGGCTCTCCACCTAGCCGCGTAGGCTATGTCGACCCCAGGGGGTGATTTGGTGGTTAAGGGCCTTAGCCAATTTTTTGACTTTCTAAGGCTCTCCACCTAGCCGCGTAGGCTATGTCGACCGCAGGGGGTGATTTGGTGGTTAAGGGACTTAGCCAATTTTTTGACTTTCCAATGCTCTCCACCTAGCTGCGTAGGCTATGTCGACCCCAGGGGGCAATTTGGTGGTTAAGGACCTTAGCCAATTTTTTGACTTTTCAAGGCTCTCCACCTAGCCGCGTAGGCTATGTCGACCGCAGGGGGTGATTTGGTGGTTAAGGGCCTTAGCCAATTTTTTGACTTTCCAAGGCTCTCCACCTAACCGCGTAGGCTATGTCGACCACAGGGGGTGATTTGGTGGTTAAGGGCCTTAGCCAATTTTTTAACTTTCCAAGGCTTTCCACTTAGCCGCGTAGGCTATGTCGACCGCAGGGGGTGATTTGGTGGTTAAGGGCCTTAGCCAATTTTTTGACTTTCCAATGCTCTCCACCTAGCTGCGTAGGCTATGTCGACCCCAGGGGGCGATTTGGTGGTTAAGGACCTTAGCCAATTTTTTGACTTTTCAAGGCTCCCCACCTTGCCGCGTAGGCTATGTCGATCGCAGGGGGTGATTTGGTGGTTAAGGGCCTTAGCCAATTTTTTGACTTTCCAAGGCTCTCCACCTAGCCGCGTAGGCTATGTC